TGTGGTGTGAGTCAAAGGGCATCTCCATGCATAGGATTTGAGATGCATGTCATCTCATTTTCTATGACTTTTCTATTCCTATGATTTTTCAATCCTATGAACCAAAGGAGGCCTGAATGTTATTGTTTTTAGCTCCCAACACACGGATCAATACCAAGCAGACGGTCATCAATTATAAATTTGGTTAAAAAAACTGAAGCGTAATATGTCAAATTTGCTGGCTGCTCATCAATCTGATCAACCAGAGCGGCATGCACTTATGCAGGCCATCTGCTGTCAGCGTTCCTGCAGATGAAGCACTGGTCCGGTAAAAGCACCGGTGAAGATAGCATCTGAAATTACTATGATTGTAATAACCCTGTTGGCTCTGGTGAATTGCCGTGGCGTGAGAGAAGATACACAAAGGAAGAAAATACAGGAGGAATAAAAGTGAGACGGAACTTCTCTTCAGTTATTTTTTCTGTCTCCAAACGATGAGTAGAAGCGTCTCCATATTCAGACTACCTCTGTCAGAATCTGTTTCATCCTTTGTTCCTGAATGAGTATCATCCATAGGCAGCAGGGTGGTTACAGTGATCTGCCGTGATGATGGAAAAGCAACCAGGCACATCACTACCAGAAACTGGAATTTTTCTGTGAGCCCAAAACCAACAGGAAAATAGGGTCTACCGACAGGAAAAGTATTTCCTGTGGGTCACCTGTCAGGGTTAGCCGTCAGGGATAGCTTGACAGGGAAAATAACCTATGCCTGTCGGTTGGCCGACAGGGACTATTCCTGTCGGGTTTTCTAATTTCCCTGACGGGTTTGGCCCTACAGGGTTATATGAACGTCAGGTTTGGCAAAACAGGGAAATAGTATACTCCTGTCATACGTTACCGTCAGGAAAAAAAGAAACTGAATGAACAAAAAAAAATATTGATGGTTTCATACATAGCTATTCCATAAGTCAGAATATTTAGAACATAGAAACATCACTATCAACTGTTTCCATCAACCAGAGATACAAATTCACATGTCTTCAGATACAATTTCATAGAATTTACATACATGAATCGAAGGTCAACGAAAACAGGGGTGCAACATCTAAAAACACATAAGTGCATCAACTAAATATACACAAGAAGAGACCTCATTTTCTATAATCTTTTGTTGCCAGCTTAAGTTGCAAGCTTCTCTTCAAGGTTGCCCTGCAATGGACATATAATTGAACTTGTAAAAATGTGCAGGTGTCAACAGTTTGCTACAAAAAGGTAACGAGAAAAAGAACAATATCTATAAGATATAATAAGCATAATCTACTTGGTATCACAGGTTCTCGCAATAACATTGGCATATATACCCAACTTGTTTTTCTCACAGCAAAGTTACCCACTTTTACAGCTTGTAGACTAATAATGGAGTAATTTGTTCTAGCATCATATCTCATATTTGATACAAATCATGCAACTGACAAAAACCATTTAAATGACAACCCGAGCACATGCTTCTGGATTAGCTTGACAGAATTATCAGCTAACTTCCTGAGCAGATGAGTCATTAGAGACTTCTTGCAAGAAATCACATTACCAATGTCAATACTCTTAAGTCTATCCATTTCAAATGTTCAAGAGAATGGCCAGAGTCATCATCATCTCCATAAGAATAAAAAAAGCCAAAACATTATGCAATTATTCGATAATGTAACAACATGGGAGCTGAACATCACGGTGAGACAATAAAAGACCCCAAAGAAATAGAAAGAGGTTGTGTTCAGACTAAACCAACATAGCAACTAGTGGCTCAATAATGTTGATCTCATGATCTTGGGCACACTTGACATAGCATGATATGTTTTTAATATACACGAGAAAACTTGACTGGCAATTATTCCTGATAAAACTTTGGGAATGATGGTGAAAGTAAAAGTAAAAATACCTTCATTAGAAGCTCTTGCATCTCTCATAGACCCTGAATCTTGAATTTTGCTCCGAATAATAGGTTACGAATTCACATATCTTCTGATGTAATTGCATAGAATTTACACACACGAATCAAATGTCAACAAAAATAGAGGTACAACTTCTCAAAAAAGCACATGTGGATCAACTAAATATTCACAATTTGAGACCATTTTCTACAATGTTTTGCTTGACCTTAGGTTGTAAGATGCTCTTCTTACCCTGCACTGGACATAACTGAACTTGTAAAATGTGCAAGTGTGAACCGTTTGCTACAATAAGGTAACAAGAAACAGGAATAATATACATATGATATGATCAGCATAATCTATATGGTATCTCATATTCTCGCATTAACATAAGTATATATAGCCAAATTCTTTTTTTCACAGCAAAGTTAAATAAACTGACAGCTATATAGACATGATAACTGAGTGGTTTCTTCTAAAATCTTGTGACAAATTTGATACAAACACAACAATTGACAACATCCATTCATCTATCAGAACTATCAGTTATTAGAGGTTTCTTCAAGTTAAGCTCAAACCATGATATCGACAGTAAGTGCAACTTCTCAATGATGCATAACCAGAAGAATGTACTCTGTTTCAAAATGCAAGACGTTTTTTGACACTGCCACATTTTGAGACAGGTTAGTATAACAAGAAAATCAGGGGAGTGCCTTTGAATAAAATTATCAAGAAGGAAACAGAAATGTAGTAACATTCATACTGAACAAAAATAGCAGCTAGGGGCTCAACACAGATAAGATGATCCTGGTCATACTGGACAAAGAATGGTATACAAACAGTATGATAAGATGAAAGAATATAAAGGGCATCATTACTGCCTAATAAAACAAAGAGCTATGCTGCTGAATATCACATTAAGATAAAAGGGCAACAAACACCATCTCTATATATAACTGTATCTGGTCTTACCTGTTAGAATATTCTCTAACTCCATCAGCATACATAAAAAAGCAAATATGTTTTATTTGCTTAAGGCTTGAGCAATTCATCAATAACATCACTACACTGGAAAACATTTCCAATTCACTAGTAATAATATAAGCTGCTTACACTACACGACATTTTCAACATTGATATTCCAAACATCCATGCATATATGTCTCTGCTTAAGCATAATTAATTACGTACCTGATAATAGAAGTTAAGCCTTCTTCCAATTATATTTTATTGCTCTGCGTCAGAGTGAAAATTAGGTGATCCATGTGCCTTCATGTACACAAGGTCAGAACAAAAGTCAAGATCTGTCATAAAAAATCAAGTTTACTTGTATGCAAACATGTCATTGCATAAAAAAAAGCATGGCAATGCACTTGATACATACACAAGCAAGAATAAAGATGCAAGACAGCAGGATCTGTGAGGTGGATCCATGGAGAGTTCGTCCAGGATGCGTCTAAGAAAAATTATACTGGTGAGCTCCATGGAGAGTTCGTCCACCCGATACATAATACTCCATGTCCATGGAGCCACCACTCACCTGGTCTCTCATCATTCAGGATGCGTCTCTCAACATAAAGTAGCCGCCGGATCTGTGAGGGGATGGTGCTGGATCTTCTAGGGTAGAGGGGAGGGGAGGAGTCAGCGTTGTCCTCACTGCTTACCGTCGGTGGTGACAACGTGAGGAGGGCGCGCTCGGGCTTGCGGTGAGGCCGCGCGTCGCCGCCAAGGAGCACAAGGCGTGGGTCGCTTGACCGGCGAGAGGATAGAGAAGGTACAAGAAACGAGGGGATGTGCAGTCTCAAGGGTGGATGCGCCGGCCAAAATGGAGCGGCGGAGTGGCACGACGAAGGAGGCGACCGATGCTGCTGCTGCTGCGGCGGCGAGGGTTAGGTCTGGCGGCGGCGAGATGGGGTGGAGACGAGGGATGGGGCTTCTGATTTGGGGATC